GAGGAAACGGTTCCATTCATTCGTTTTAAGGTGTTATTTAAAATAAAATAAAACTGGGAAGTGCGTGGATATGCACAACACGGCTACACGCACTGAAGGATCCGTATTAAGGATGAACGTTCATTAGCTAAGGATGAGAATTCTAAGTAAACTATAACCTCAAATCTTTTTTTTTATGAATCTTCGAAGAACTTTTTAATTAGGCCTCGTTTTTTATACGTGTCTAATTCTCAATTGTGAGGGCTTTGTCAAACAACAAACAGATTGCAGGATGGCGATAAACATACAAAAATTTAAACCTGCAGAAATTGTGATATTGTGTAACCTGCAAATATATATTAATACATGAAGCAAAAACTTTGTACCCCTTTTTACGAAAATTGCGCGGATGGAGGAGTATGAAATTTCTCACGCTTATAGAGAATATAGAGAAGGAGTGCAGAATGCTAATATTTTTTTTAAATTATGCCTTAATAATATAATACATTAAATCAATAAAAAAAACATTACACACACTAACATGTCTTTGACACACACACACACATATAATATATACTCTTTATTTACTGTCAAACTTTTGTTATTGCCATAGAGTTAGTATTATTGCTTAAAGTCTGTGATCAAGTTGAGAATATTATAATATTAATTATCTTGGCGAAATCTGTGATTATAGAAGTATAATAATAGTCTTTGACAATAGAACCATAATAATGTCAATTAATTATAATCGAATTTCGACTACTGCGGGACCGCTAGTTTTAATGAATTGTCAGATGGTTTAGTTCACCGGATGTCTTACCTAATTCGCTACTGATTAATTAAAGAACGTGAATCGATAAACACCATATAGTGAATAATAAACGTAATATGACATAATAAACGTGAATTGATAAAAATAAAACCGATCACATGTAATAATGTATTGGCAAAAAAGGTTGGTTAGGAATTAGATTTTGTTGCTAACATAATTGACCTTAATCTTGTTGTGGTTAAATTTAGTTAAAATGTGCACTTAAAATAATTCTATTACTGTAGCTCCTAATCTACCTCTTTTTTTGTTCCTCTACTACCTCTTGTCTATTTTCTAAAGATTTTCAGTGTGATTCAATTAATATTGAAGTAGGTATGTGCTTGAATTAAGCGAAAACGTTATTGAATTTGTTGAAACTTGTAAACAAGAACAGAAGCGGGGGGAGCGTCACAATTTACAAATCAATTTGCATATTGAGAGCGATCAGGTTTTCGGATTTGCATTTTCATTAAATCACAAAAGGCGCGTTCGCTACATACCTACACGTTGTACACTCGATGTCTACGTGAGAGGAACGGTTAATAAAGTAAAGTCAATTTTTTTAACATAAATGTCATTTCATTAACAAACATCACTTTGGTTGCTATTATTTGGAAGTCGTCGTGCCCTAAAGGATAAAACGTCCGGTGCATTCGTATGAAGCGATGCACCGGTGTTCGAATCCCGCAGGCGGGTACCAATTTTTCTAATGAAACACGTACTCAACAAATGTTAACGATTGACTTCCACGGTGAAGGAATAACATCGTGTAATAAAAATGAAACCCGAAAAATTATAATTTTCGTAATTACTGGTGGTAGGACCTCTTGGGAGTCCACACGGGTAGGTACCACCAACCCGCCTATTTCCGCCGTAAAGCAGTAATGCGTTTCGGTTCGAAGGGTGGGGTAGCCGTTGTAACTATACTGAGACCTTGGAACTTATATCTCAAGGTGGGTGGCGCATTTACGTTGTGGATGTCTATGGGCTCCAGTAACCACTTAACATCAGGTGGGCTGTGAGCTCGTCCACCCATCTAAGCAATAAAAAAAAACGTTGTAAGCAATACTTTAGCAACATTAGACTCTAATGTTAAGACAATGCAATCCTACCACTTTAAACTAGATCATTTATGGAACCGCTGTACTGCAGAAATAGACAACAGAAATGAAACCAACTCGAACACGTTCTAAATTAGGATGTTCTTAAAATTGATACTTACCTTTTTGTGCATGCTGTATAGCTTTTTTATTTGAAAAAGCTTGCTGTTAAGAAATGTTTTTTTTGAAGCTATTGCATAGAATTTATCGCGGGCATTGAGCACGAAATCATGAAATTCCGTAACGAAAAAAAAAATACACCACTCACTCCGCCAATTCATCCATCATGAAAACTCTGCCCATCTCTCTCTCGCGCGGTCTAGTTTATGAGGGGACAATTAAGGTTTTGCTTTTATTAATGTTTAATATAGCGTGGTCCGCGGCAGTTCCCGAGTGCCACACGTTTTTTTTAAATTGTATTTCCAGGCAGGTGAGCCTATAGTCCACCTGAAAGTAACCGGTTATTCTCGCTCATAGACATCAGTAATACCGGGGTAATCAATTCGCTAACACAATATTACCTACATATCCATAAATTCAGTACATTATTTACTAAATCTAACAATATAAATTTCGTATTCCATTTCGAATGTCGCTCTGTAATGTTCCGGTTTGTGTAACAACGTTGTGAATGTGCCGATCTCCGCTTTGGTCCGTAGCACCGGTAATACCCGACTCGTACCGTACAGTACTGCTCCGGTCGGATATTGCGCTCTTATGGCATCCTCGGTCGGTTTAATGCGTTTCCGATGTGACACAAATTGCGTGTTTCATAGCTTCGTAAGTCTCTCTGGTCACAACCGGCGTGCAGGTGTTAGTGTTCGAACAACAATGTTGTTAAATATATTTACACTAGAATGTTTTGTACGTATTTGTTAGGTACGAGTTTTGTTTTAGTATTGTATTTGGAGGGAGGTGGTCCATCTAAACCAGGGGCTCCCAAACTTATTTTGTCTACTGCCCCCCTTGAGAATAAATTATTTTTAGCGCCCCCATTTTTTCACCTACTTAAAAACCACTATAGCGAGAGCTCAGTCGGTGTTTATGAGTCCTCCTAGATGAAATTACAAATCGCCTCCCAAGCCTCACAACGCCCCGATTTTTTTCTGGGTCTCTTACCGAACTCCTTTAGGCCTGCAGCGCCCACAAGGGCGCGTTATCGTCCACTTTGGGAAAGGCTGATCTAAACGTTGCTTACAGCGTTTTCCGAAATCTTTCTGACCCTATCCTTTCAAAGAAAAATAATATTTATTTTGTAAAAACCGAGCAGGTCTGTTGACTTAAAAACTAAAGACTATCTTATCAAGAGATTTTTAGTTCAACCTTGCGTTAGCGTTCCAGTTATTTTTATAAGATCACCTCTTATCTCAGTTTTATTGTAGACGATGTACATAAAGTAAAAGAATGTGATGTATCAAGATAAACTGGCCTTATCAGTCGTTTTGCTTGATTTGGGCCCGAGGAGTTCTAATGTTTAAACATTAAAATATACTACAGGTAATGTATTTTAGACGATTTCGTTGGCTTGGTATTGTTTTCTTGCTTTTAAGTTTTTCTTGGTATTATTTGACTTGACGGAAGTTTTGCTTTCCCCTTAAGAAGAGAATTAATAAGAATGGCAGAGCATATAAAATATTTCTTGTCATTTGTTCTGGTAGGTATAATAAATGTAGTTTATCTTATGTTCAATTCTTAGTAACACATCGTTAAAAAGGTGTGACAATCCAATAAAGGATCTAACGGACCGTAACCCAAATAATATATGGAGGCCGCATTGCCTAATGTTGAACGTTTACGGCTACGCGTAGCAACGCCGTAAACGTGCGGAATGCCTGTTTTGTTCAAAAAGGTCGGTATTCGGTGCACGGCTGCGCGGGCGGTGACTCTTCAGGGCAGTCCACCCGGTGCCGTGCTCGATTCTTCGTTACTAGAATACTAATGCGTTTCATCGTAAGGCCAACTTGCTTCTGGACAACGAAAGTTCGTCTTTGTTTTGTTGACTTTCGCATTCATTAATTTGGAACGCTCCTTCGCTGCTACTAACTGAACAGGGAAAGAAGATTGAATAAAAGTTCATTGACTTTAAGTTGCAAAGGGCACGGCTACAATCGTTGAAGTTTTTTTTTATTGCTTATATGGGTGGACGAGCTCACAGCCCACCTAGTGTTAGGTTACTGGAGCCCATAGACATCTACAACGTAAATGCGCCACCCACCTTGAGATATAAGTTCTAAGGTCTCAAGTATAGTTACAACGGCTGCCCTACCCTTTAAACTGAAACGCATTACTGTTTCACGGCAGAAATAGGCGGTGCGGTGGTACCTACTCGTGCGGACTCACAAGAGGTCCTACCACCAGTAAAAAGTCTTTCCAAAGACCAATGAACGTTCAAATATCATAGTGTACGTTCTGAATTGCTGTGTCGATGTTCATGTTTGGTAGTCGGTCCGGCCGCTGGTCTCGCAGCAGTGCACTACAGAAGCAGCGGGTGCGGCACGCTTGGCTGGCGCCGCTCGCCGCCCGCGCACCGCAGCCGCCCCCGCGGACCCTTGCGAAAAAATCATAATGCAATCGGCAGGACGGGCTTGGTGGAACACTCGACAACCGCACGCAACCAGTTTACATTCAAATGCGTTAAAACTCGCACGCCATCAATCATGATGGATTAGTCGTGTCGGGAAATGGATTTCTCTTGGAAGAATCCGTTGTCGCTGAATGCAATCAAGAGTGCACCGATACGTCTCACTTTCGTTTCTTTTAAAGTTACCATTGAATTTAGATATTCAGTGCGGTTAACTTTTTTCTGACTCTGAGAGTGCTATTTGTGTGACGATTCACTTTGTCCTCGGTCGTAAAATTAGTAAATTAGAGTTGTCACGTTCAGTTTGTTGCAAAGGTGTCTTAAACTTAATCATTTGTTTACATTTTTACTGATTGCTACTATGCTGCTATTAATCATTATTAACTTGAGTACTTTTCGAAGGTCTGTATTCGCTTAATATACTTGAACCTTTTTTGTCTTGAAACAATTGTCCATCAAATACAAATTAATTCTTTACGCGTCTCGGTTGCGTCCGGTGACGGTTGCTTTCGAAGTATTCATGGTTTTAAGTTGTCTTTCAATCGCGAACACAGTGGGTCGAATCACTTGTTACCGACTGGTAGTCCAATGAAATATGCGCGTTATCATTTTTGTTACTTTAGTGAAATCCAATGATTGGCTAATTGAGGTTTATCACAGTTTTATAGATAAAAAAAACCAGTCGAATTTCATGGAATATCTGTTAATGTCAGTGCGTAATCATTGTGGCTATCATGAAGCGGATTTTTGGTGTTTCGTTCAGTGAGTGACGAAAAAGTTGTTCAATATGTGGGGAGCGGCCGTGTCTAATCCACCGCATTACCATTACATACAAGGACCGGGAATTGTTCCATCGCATGGAGGTCCAGCGGGTCCTATTTTGTCTGGACCGAGCCCTCGTCATCTGAAGCCGCAGTCTTCATATTCTTTGCCCCACGGCAGCAACGGTCCCGCACGCTGGAGTTGGTCCGGCACTCAAGTGTCTTCTTTTGATCGGAGGCAGTTGAAGGTTCCTCCACAGCCTGCTCGTCCAGCTCCGGCGCGACCTTCACATAATAGACATGCAGGAAACAGTGTAAGTGGATTTCGATTGAGTGACGAGATCTGATGCAGACTTATCATCTATATCTATACTTAATATAAAAGATCTACAAATCTACAGTGGTTTTTACGGATGTTCCGTTATAACTACTGAACCGTGCATCCAATTGACTTGAAATTTGGTATCCATGTAGAAAATACATGTACTTAATAGATAGGCTAATATTTATATGAGTGTTGGACTCCCTACACTAGTTGCGGGGGCGTTAATGATGAGAATCTTTGTGGGGGTGAGAAATAATAATGTTAATTTTAAATGCCCATCGAAGCGGACGGGTACAGCTAGTAAGCTAATAATGTCATTGCATGAGGCCTGTCTTAGTTAACTTTTGCATTATTTCCTAGTCTCGCAATGGACAGACACCGTATCAAATGACGATTGCGTACACCAATATAGTAACCGTGTTTGTTTTTTTTTCTTTTGTTAATACAGTTTGACTAAGACTAACATTTATTATAAATTTAATAAACATATACTTATGTATTTATTTATTTTGATTTGAAAATTAACAATGTATATTTTTTGCATTTTGACAAACCGTTCAAAGAATTCTGCTATAGGTACAAATATTAATAAAATAAAATTACAAAAGTTTTTGTGTGCTTGTCCAGTTACGAGGTCATTTCGGGTCATTTAGCGACAGTATAGACGAATAAGACCTTAGCTGTCCGTGACCACGAAAACTATAAAGTGTTGGAAACGTCGGAAATTATAAAATGAACAATGAACAAACTTAAAAACGAAATTGAGTATTTCGGCGTAATTCTTTTCTGGTCTGCAAATCCTTTCAAAAAAGTTAAGTTGATGTCGTATGCTATCATTATAAGTTTCATAGTGCGGATATCAATTCAACACTACTTGTCGAAAACAAATTTGCCTCAGAATTGTAAAAACAGTTAATACCACCATAGCGCCTATTTCCGTGACGTCACCATACGTTCCGGCTCAAAGGGAAACTAAATAATAATTGTTTATTTTTAAGCCGTGAGCACGTTTATACTTTTAAGCGAGTTAAAAATAGGTAAAAAAAAATTAATATCATTTTATTTGAATGTGTAAAAACCTACATCTATTGATGTTTGAAATTGGCAATTTACTAGATTTGACGTCCACATTATGATGATCTTTCCCTTTTTTATCTTTTCACATACCATATATACGCTTTATTAAACACGCAATTGAAACGTTTAAGGACAAGTTATTATATGTTTCAATATACTAAAGTTTACTCTACAGTACCTACGCCACAGACGATTTGTATACACGTATTAAAAACTGAATCCTTCGCCTTGGGCAGTAACTTTGCAAGGAGTAATGTTTAGCAAGAAATACAATATTTGACAGAAGGCCTATCTGTCTACACGTCATCATTGTCAAACCGATAACTGCTTTGTGGACTTTTTGAAGATTTTAATATTTAGAGCATTATTATTAATTTAATAATAGAACAATGAGAAATGAAGTATCTATTCAATGTATTTTCACAGATATAGGATATCCCCCTTAATACAAATCGTGGCCAAAATCTTCACAATGTTATCTTAATACCGAAGCTAACTCTGAAAGTAACAGTATCGTATTGTTTCAATCTAAACGACTTTTAATTTTTATATGAAAACTTTTTACGTAAATTTTATCTTTCAAAAAGAGCTATATCTCATTTTGGTGTAAAAGCTTTCTCTCTGCTTTAATTCGCATCTTAAAAAGTGGAGTTGATGTTCTATGGCGCTCAAAGTTATTTCAGTTTTTCAGATTGAAAATAACATTGCTTTATAATATTTAATGCAAAAAAATCTTATAATTTTTATGAAGGCTTTCGTCTTATGACTCATTTTTAGCGTTTTTGAGTTTTTACACGTAGCATTTTACTAAAGAAAAATAAATAATGATGCTACATTTTCTCGAACGAACGAATTTTGTAGAAAAGTGAGTGCTGATTCTGAGATAGGTTTTTTGATTCTGGAAAGGCTATTTAACTAAATCAAAGTGAAATAAATGAAACGAAGATGGACCTTTCGAATTTATGAGAAATAATATTAGACGTATAAATATATACAAAAACAGCTCAATGAACGTAGTATATTATAAAATAAAAAATTCGTGTAAATATATAATAAAAAACGGTGAAAATATCGTTTAAAGCTATGTATTCTTTTAGACAACTTTGAGTGTAAATAAAATAAAGAAATTATATTGCAATCTTGTGTATCTTGTATTTAGAAATTTTTATTAATACCAAACTATTGTTTTCAGTTTTCGCGATTCATAAATGTAAAATTACTGTTACTGTTAAATCTCCGGTTTATGAATTTTATTTTGAATTATTACTTAGGGAATTGAGCACAATACTCAAATTTTTACGAATGACACCGTAGTCGTCCGAGTTACCACGAAAACTGTATAAAAACATTTTGTAAATGAAAATAATAAAAGCGAAATAAACCCGTAAAACCAGTTTAATTAATACTAAATTTAATATGTATTTTATTCAATACTATAGATTATACGTCTGTCTCTTTATCTTGTTCCATGCAGATTATAAAACCGAAAATAGACTTTTCAACTATACGTGGTACCATGATTCGCTATAATTTTAAATATGGTGTATGTGTTTAGATAGACCAGGACTAAAATTTACACGTATTTTGCTGCCCACCTGGCGTTAAGTGGTTACTGGAGCCCATAGACACCTACAACGTACATGCGCCGCCCACCTTTAAATATAAGTTCTAAGATCTCAGTATAGTTACAACGGCTGCCCCACCCTTCAAACCGAAACGCATTACTGCTTCACGGCAGAAATAGGCAAGGCGGTGGTACCTACCCGCGCGGACTCACAGGAGGTCCTGCCACTAGTATAATAAAAGCTTTTATGTCAATTTTCAAGCTCTTATTAAATCGACCGCTCGTCGTGCTCATACATAAAATTTTACTTTCGCTACACGTTATCTTCTTTAAAAACGTGAAGAATTTTGTATCGATATGTGGTAATAGGATTGTAAGTCCGAACACGTCTTGGTTCAACTATGTCACGTGTCTCAACCCGGATAAAAGCAGACACGTGCTCATGCTTAATTCGCCGTATAATTTTATGAAGTATATACTAACACCTACTTTCTAAACGCAAAATTATTGTTTTAAAAATATCGTATAAAAATATAGTCGCTCTTTTTTTTTTATTGCTTAGTTGGGTGTACGAGTTCACAGCCCACCTGGTGTTAAGTGGTTACTGGAGCCCATAGACATCTACAACGTAAATGCGCCACCCACCTTGAGACATAAGTTCTAAGGTCTCAGGTATAGTTACAACGGCTGCCCCACCCTTCAAACCGAAACGCATTACTGCTTCACGGCAGAAATAGGCAGGGTGGTGGTACCTACCCGCACGGACTCCCAAGAGGTCCTACCACCAGTAAAAATCTCTATCTCTCTAATCAATTATTTTGCCAAGTTTAGCTTAATCACTTAATAACTACTTAATAATTTATTAAGCGATTGAATTAAATATCAAATAAAATATTTACACAATGATTTCAATAAATTTGGTACGTTAAATTCTGTGTTTGTTATTTGAGTTCCAAATTACTCCTGAATTATCTTCTGAAACCGAGTTACCCTTTCGCGTGTTTCTAAATTCAAACACTGTGCGCTTAATTTTGACTTCGAAATGGATAAATATTATTTACGTTAAGGGCATTAGAAGTATTTCAAATTCGTTGGTTTCGACTTTATTAGATTTTAGTATAATTTTCTGCACATCTGTTTATATTAAAGCAAAGTCTTCATGAGTATGCATATTTGAGACAAATTAAAATATCTCCGTTGTCTTTTATACAGTTGCAATGAGTTTTTGTTGAGTTTGCGAAATAACATTAGAGTTGCTGTACGGAAATTCTAATGCACCTCGCGACTGTATGCCCTTGACTCTTCGGTCAATGCAAATAAAATGTCATGTTAATAAGTTGCGAATTCTTAAACACGACACTGCGTATATAAAACTGATTTTATTTTTTCATACAAAATTTCCGGAGCGTGAGGTGACATCACTTGTTCATTTTGCAGCACGTCTTTCTTCCACTTCTTCAATAACATAAATAATAATAAATGTAAAAGAAGTGGTGTCCTAGGCAGACGGCTGATTCGGCTCGAACAGTATGGTAAAGGTTAAATGTTTGTCAAATGACCACGAAGTCTGCGGATTTAAAAAGTAAAACGCAAAGCGCGTTATATCTTAGGGCTATCTTAATTTAAATAATATTTTTAAGTTATGATATCTTATAAAATGTTTTTATCTTATTAAAAAAAACACCTTGTATTTCACCTATTTCTCTCCAGAGAATTGCCCTTGTAGGCAGACGAGCATACGGCCCACCTGATGGTGAGTGGTTACCGTCGCCCATGGACTTCAGCAATGCCAGGGGCAGAGCCAAGCCGCTGCCTACCGTTTAATACTCTCCACAAGCCTCGTTTGAAGAACTTAAAAGAGCTAGTTCCATGGCCTCTAGTTTTCCGGATATATAATTTATTTTGACATTGATGAACATCGTAAAATTGATCTAAAGTATTTTGATTTTGTTGTTATTTTAGTTCTGTTCGGTACCTTCGTAAGACAAAACACGATTATTTATTTAATAAAGTGACGTGATGAGAGGGTAATGTCGTTTATATGTAGTAAATTATCAAGCTGTAATTATCAATTTTACATATACACAATCTGTTTTAAATCTTTCATTATCAGAATAAGAACGATTAGTATGAAAACGATTGTATCACAAATAAATAATTATTTTAAGTATTTGTTTTTCCAAACGTGAGTTATTATTGAACAATGAATGACAGGAACAAATTCAAAAACTTTGTGCCGTTTTTGTTGCATTAGAATTTAAGTTTCTTTAATGGAAAGCTCGTGTTTCTTATGGCTTATTTAAAATATATGTTTTTTCACAGAAGGTCGACCCGGAGCTGATCTTCACGAAACAAGAGAAGATCGGCAAAGGTTCCTTCGGCGAGGTGTTTAAAGGCGTGGACAATAGAACCCAACAGGTTGTAGCCATTAAAATAATAGACTTGGAAGAAGCCGAAGATGAAATCGAAGATATTCAACAAGAAATCATGGTGCTGTCACAGTGTGACAGTCCATACGTCACTAAATATTATGGATCATACTTGAAGGTCAGTGAAATTTTCCGTTTGCCATATTCATTTTTGCTTAGCGTAAAACAATTTGACGTGATGATAAATCGGACTCATCGTTCGAGTTAATGCGGGTGATGTTCTTCGCTATTCATTGACGCCGACGTTTATTACCTTCATGAAGACCGATAACATGTACGTGCGTATTGGAGCACATGCCGAGATTTACCTCTATGAATATATTACGCTTTATCGTGTCAGACTCGAGGAAGCCGCATCAATCACTGTCTGCGAAGTTAGGTCTCGTTATCTACGTCAGAGCTTTTGTGGAAGACGAGACAACGATCACAAATAATGGACTTCATCTATTAAGAGTAGTAGTATTCTGAATGCTATCTATAACATCCGCACTCACGTCCGTTCGAATTTGTAGGTTCGCTGCTGAATATAAATTTGCTTTTTTTTTTTGTATATTGCGTGATTCCATTGCTCTTGTTCAGAACCGTGACGCGCTGAATAGCTTCACAGCTTCGTAGCATTGTTACCACTTACCCAGATGGAATAACAGAAAGCGTCACCGCAGTGTCGCGCCGCCATTTAATAACCAGGGATTTTAACCTGTAGTTTTATAACTGCTTCTCGATTTTCCGTTGTCTCTCTTATAATTGCGCTTGGCGGCACAATTGCTTGTAATGATACGTTTCTAATGTCGTGACAGTAGGTAATAAGTTTTTTTTTTTTTTTCGTATTGCGACAGCCAATTTGCGTATGCATGCTTGAAATTAACTGTGGCACAATTTAACTTATTGTACTATGTTCGTTACGCAACGTATATTTGAATGTCACGAAATTTGTAACGTGCAGTCGCAATGGAACGTTCACCCGATCGTGTAATTTGTTCGCGTGCTTTATTACCCGGCTGATGCCCGTCACGTCAAGTCTTTGAGGTCAGAACGATGCGAATACGGAACCGGTTCCTTATAATCTAGGTTCATTACGATGATTTACTTTCGAATTTATGTTTCGTGTTCGTGTGATTGTTACACGGCTTTCGTATACATATGAAACAAACAAAAAATCATCGATGTAAGATGAATTAAAAGTATCCCCCTGCCAAACGATCCGTATCTGATGGAACGCTCAAATCGTTGAACACTCAGAAAATGATTTCATTGACAAAGTTTATCAATCAATGTATTGCCATTCTCTTCTATGAGTACCTAACTATTATATGTAGACGTTTCTCGAAAAGAACAAATTTGGAAACAATATAACGTTGATTGAGTTTGATAATGGAAAGCGTTTCTAAGTCTTTTTGTATAAGTCTTCACTGGAGTTCAGAACATCGAAAATGTTTCAGTGATTCATTAAAAATGTTAATCAATTCAGTCCACCGCGCCTCTGAATTATCAAACATTTCATTAAACAATATTAAATTTAAAATATACTTAAAAAGGCAGTACAATAAAAAAGTATATGAATGGTATGGTACACATGTTAAAAAAAATATAATTGATTAAATAAGTAAAAGCCGAGTTTCGTAGTTTCTATACGATTAGCTGTAGTAAAAGTTAATTAATTTTTCCTCAGTTTCGCGTTTTTAAACCACCAAACAATTCGTCAAGCACACTTCATAACAATGTGGATATTCAATCATGTTTTTTCTCTCGTCGATCGTAATGAAATCATTCCAATAGCCATATCATTCTGCCAGTTCTTAACATCACTTCAGGTTTTTTTTAAATTGAAAATACATCTTTATTACGCTGGCTGTTCAACAAGTCAGTCTTTATTTTGTAATGAAAGATCGATCAAGGCTCTTGTAGAACAAAATCAAAGATTAACACCTATATATACGAAGAGATAATTTTTCAGGAACAATTTTAAAATTAAGACTTAAAATTTGACTATAGATCGCATTCCATAGACATAACTCTATCACTTGTCAAAACTTCATAATTTGTTGTTTTCAGTATGACGCATCGTGTCGGCTGCTGTAAATGCGTTGCCTATTGCAATCTTGACATACTTTCCAAAGCTGTCGTTATACATGCCTTACAAAATACGATGCAACGTGTTCTTTACACGCCCACTATAATACGCTATACGCTGCAATACGCTATTATATTTATCTTTAAGCAGCTGTACTAAAACAGACATTTAAAAACTCTACATTAAGAAATAATTTCATAGTTGACTTGTCGTCATATTTGAATTTCATTTTTTTTTTGTTTATTATTTCGTTTAGCAAACAGACCGCGTCAAAGTTGCTAAATTCGGTTGAATTATAATTTTGTGTAAACATGTTACGGGCGTCAGACTCACGAATACAAAGTTTTGACATATGCGCGAGTTATGAAAAGTATGCGCACAATAATAATTATTATTAATAAAGTGGCTTCGGTATTTCTCTATTGTTTTTTGTGGTTAATTTTAGACAATTATATAGCAATTACTTTTTCTATATATTTTCATGTTTATTTTATGTTTTATAATTTCCAACATTTTAAAAACGAGTGAGCAACTGAAGGTGCTGTCCCGTGACTTTCGTCTTTTGAGTCCAAGGTTTTGGTCCAGTTTGGTATAGTAACCTAATTCCTACTGGGGAAAATTTTAATCTTAAAATTAAATTTATTTAGCCATGTGAAATATGATGCCCCATAAAGAACCAAACATTTTTTAAATTTACTTTTACCACCGGACACTGAAGTTTACACGGAGATTTTTTATTTCCTTGGAATGATTAACCGTCCGACGACGTATGCCTGACATAACATTGATTGCCTCATTATTTACTCTGATCTGTTTGATCGCGAAAATCGTTTTACTCGACGGCTAAAGATAGCAAACAATTTATATTGCAACATTCACAATTTTAATAAAATTGGTTCTGCGAAAAGAGCGTTTTAATTAAAACACATTTAAGCACTTTTATAAACATACTACTATGTTTAATTTTGAATTAAATTAATTTAGATGTCTGTTTGCATCAAATTTTTTACGTATTAAGCAAGCAATCATGGTCTTGGTAAAGTAATATTTATTTATAGCAGTACCTTTACAGTAAAACATTGAATGCTATATTTATTTAATAACAATATGGAATTTAAAAAAAAAACATCGTTAGATAATACTAGCACTATTGCAATATGTATAGCCATAAATGTAGACGTTACTAGCATTCAACTATATCCGATAAAAAAAAAATCGTCAATAGCTTGAAATCGTCGTGGCCTAATTGATACGACGCCCGCTACATTTGTATTGAGCGATGAGACTGTTCCGGTGTTCGGATCCCGCAGGCAGTCACTTTTTTATAATGAAATACGTACTTAAAAAAAATACTTTGACGGTGAAGGAATAAATAACATAGTGTAACAATTTTTTTGCTTAATTACTGATCGTTAGGTGCCTTGTGAGCCCGCACGGATTGGTACCACCGTCCTACCTATTTCTGCCGTGAAGCAGTAAAGCCGTTAAGTTTTTTGGGGGGCAATCGTTGTACTGTAATAACGGAGACTTAAAAATCGTGTCAAGGTGAGTGGCGGCATTAACGTGGTTAACCACTTAACACCAGATAGTCCGTGTGCTCGTCATTCTATCTTAGCAATAAAAAAAATTAAATACACTTGATAATCATCGCAATGGTGCAGTAATATTGATGTGATTAATAATAATACTAAAAACGAAAGATATATTTATGATCCAAGTTCTCATGGACTAAGTTCTGAAACGTTCTCAAAATCTTTGGTTGGATCATCGACCGGTTTACGTCAGTGTGATGAATGAAATTAAATGTGACGTGGATAAGTTGAGCTCGTGTGTAGAGAGAGGGTTTTCGTGGGCATAATTCCGAATGCGGATGTATGACGGAATGGGCGGACAGAGGTGAAGGACGCCGCACCGATGACTCACCAAACGTCTGCCTTTGGCAAAGGGAAAATGTCAAGATCGTATCATCTTATGTTTCCAGGTGCAATTAAAAGACAGTTTTGCGCTGTAATCCTTTTTTTTTCAGTCACGTCCCAATTAATTTCTTAAGTATTTTGATAGTTTACGATCCGTCGTATTAAGAAATTTATATAAAAGAAACAGCATAAGTATTTGCCTTTAAAAATAAATGTCAAGGTGCCGTTAATTCCGACATTTTTTAATGTCATGCATAATTGTTTCATATTGAAAATCAATGTTTCTACCTATTTAATTTATTCTATGATCATAAATGGTTTTTAAGAAAGATTTAAAAAATATCGTTAGTTTCTATTCGTGTTCACAATATTTATTACATGTTACTCTGACTAATCTACACTAATTAATACTGGATCACCTATCTGATCTTATGATGACTGTAAAATGCTTTACTTATTATAAGTACCTATACACTAAACGCATTAGCGCCGCCGAAAATTGGAGCTTATTAGACCTTTTTTGTTATAGCTTAGAGCGTAGGCAACATTTTTCAGGTCGAAACAGGAATCGCGGTAATTTCGGGTTCAATCCTTGGCTTTATTTTCTATAAAAAATAAAAAATATTCGGGGAAAACGTGTTTCTGAAGTGTAATTTCAACTTTAGTCCTGTTTTAAGTGTAAAGATTTTATGACTATACTTTAGAGTGTAGTGGCACGCAGCTTTACATAAAACCTTTTGCTTTCCTTTTTTTGATACCACTGAATAATAGTATTCTTTGAGAGAGGGAGAGAAAGAGAAAGAACGAGAGAAAGGAGACATCTGTATTCGCAATAAGATTGCCTGTTCACTGTATTGTGATGTTACATATTTTATTTTTCCATTTATGTCCTATAAAGCGTACCAATATAATGAAATCTATCAGCGAGTCGAATAGTTCCGGTAAAACCTTGAGTCACTCTTAAGATAGTACACATAACACTGACAATGCTAAAGGCATTGGTACGCCTCTGCTTACTATAAAATTCTCTCTTAAGGCTTTAGGCTTGTTTTAAGTGTCGTACCGTTACATAAATTCCATAGGGGAAATTCATTATAATTTTTATACGTACATAGGTGTCAGTTAAGATCG